GCATACTAGAGTGTCTGAAGTTGGGAGTGAGACTGTGTTGCGGCTCGGAGGGGAGAGTTAAATGGATGACTTTGACCTTGACTCTACCCTCTGCAGAACCAAACACTCGAATATGACGTTGAGCAAGAAGTGCCTCGGAGTTCGTGCCAATAAGTTACGTAATCCAGCCTCTATTTGCCAAAATCTCTGGTCATTATAAAGAAAGTGCATCATTGACATGTTTAGTTTTTACTGTTACACAATGTTCAATAAATACTGAGCGCTGATTTAAACAATAGACTATTACATTTACTGACATTACAGTTCTGTCTCAGCAAACAGTTAACCAATCATAAGCAAGTACTCCAGCAATAAAGAGGTTTATCGTACATTCATGAACATGCTGTGCATCAGTCGGGGCATTTTTACAATCTCACCACATCCCCTCCTTCTCCCCGCCTCTCTGACTATCAACATACTTCTCACCTGTTATGGAGAGCAATGTGACATCACAGTTGGTCTCTGTTACAATCCAAGGATGCCAGAGTGGATGGCGGCCTAGTAAACGACTGTCAGCAGGAGCAGTCTGAAAACACGGACCTACCTGCCGCACATTCTGTACTTTTAGGGGAAGGAGTCAGAGTACAATGCTGGCCTTAAGTGCTGCTATAGACCATGGGTTGTGTACACATTTAGGACACTGTGTAAAAATGGGGAATTTGGTGAATCATGATTGGACTTGAGATTTGAGAGTACGTGTTTTCTCCTATCGACCTTTACCAATAGATTTACCAGTTTCTAGGTCTAGGGGAAGCTAAAGTGTAATCAGTAAAGTATAGATCATGAACTAGTTAACTCAGTGATTAATGGTCTTTGCAAAAATGTAACCTCGCCTACACATTGACAGTTCAATTCTATAAAATCATACAGCTTTGTTCCGATAAAACTAAGTGAATTAGCGTCCGATTTAAGGTCAGTTCAACTGAAAGCATTTGGATTGTGACATTTGGTCTTAATAATGGCTTTCTTAATTGTATTGTTCATTTGTGTCTGTGTCTTAGCCTAGAGTAGGTCATTAGGTCTACTTACAGGTAGCATGCGGTCATGGTACATCAAAATTACATAATTGAGGATTTTGACTATCAACCATTTGTCTTTTTCATTGCATAGAGTTTATGACTGCATGTCAGGTTGGGTATATAACTCACCTGCCTCACCTTGAGCTGCAACATGAATATTAGTTTGTGATGGACTACAATAGGGAGCTGTAGTAATGCAGTCAGTTCGGATGCCGCTGATTACTCAGATGTACTGAATGCTAAAGGCGTAAATTTTCACCTTTGGTGAATACCTGAGGGGGAACGTTTGGTTACTGTCAAATGTGTATGAAGCAACGACAGTGACAGCCTAGAAGACTATGTTCCCTTCAAATGCTTCCTCAAGGTTTGTCACTGCATGTGCATGTCGGCTCATTGTCCTTCCTACATTCCTACATATTTTGAATATTGTTTCTACTACTCTCTTACTGTGGCGGGTCGGGGAGATGCTTGGTTGAGTGGATCATGTTGGTATTAATGATTTGTTTGAGGGGGGTAAACTACAAGTGAGGTGATCATTATCTGAGCTGTAAAGGCCCAGTCATTAGTAGCTTCTACTGGATGAAAACCACCTTCAACTAAAATGAGAGTTGGCCTCACATGAAGTGCTCTGCTCAATACTACGGCCCAAGCAGCAGAGCTTTGGCCTTTTGCTTTCCCCGTACAATAATAATAATAGTAAGAAAAGGTGAGAAACCGTATGGTTCAGAACAGCTGGGAGACGGACAGTCTTTGTGGCATTCCAGGCCTTCTCTTTGGGGAAACAGAGCAGGCCGACCCGCTGGCTTCTGCTGAGCAGGCGCGCGTCTCAGCAGCTGAGCGGCGGGGACAGAGAGGGAAAAGCATCTGGAAAGGAAACTCTGCTCACTTCATTTGCACTGGAGATCGGGCGACTCTCGGTCAGGGGGACTACCTTCCAAAAATACAATCAGATGGCTGCTTTTGAAGCCCCCCCTTCGCCTGTGTGTGTGTGTGTGTGTGGGTGGGTGGGTGTAACCTTGGGCGTTGTCGTCCAGACACACACACACTTAATTTTCTCAGACCAAAGCAAGTCTGGTTTACTGTAAGTGTGGGAGCAGACTAGAGGGTGGAGACCAGAGTCTAAACTGGCTGGGGACAACTGAGTGCAGAAAGGAGTCTTTAATCTAGCGAGTCCAACGAAAAAATGATACGATAAGAGGATGCATCGTCTGAATCTGTATTTTTTTTCCCCCGTTCTTATTCAAGAAGTGCGTTTTCTGGGTTTATTTTATCTAAAGATCTATTTTATCAGAATCCGACATGCTGCAAGAGGTCAGTGTCCCATAGGATTATCAGACTTCTTACTTAACCCAGTTAACACACTGTGGGGCTAAAGATGGCAGAAATACGCAGATGTTCAATCAAGTTCTGAAATGACACATATTTATTTGATCTTTCGACTTTGTGTAAAATCTTAATCCAAACGTCCAAAACCGAAAGAAAATTCCCTGAGTACGTCATCTTTATTTCTTTTCACGTGGTTTGGGATCAACTGGACAGCCGCTCATCTCATCGATGGGATCCCGGACAGTAGTCCTTGTTCAAAGTGCTGTTTAGACAGGGATGCCGTAGTAAGGCTGAGCTCATCCTGCAGGTCACAGCAGAGGCCACAGGTTCAGACATGATGTGGAAAAAAGTGGCCGGAAACACACAACAGAAAGTCAGAATTGACTTTGATGCTGCATCTTTGAATGTGAAGAGTTAAAATAAAGTAGAGCCTTCTCATTCAAGTCTGTTACAGGAGTTGGTTTTTGTCCCTAGGTGCATATTTCAGCCGTTGTTTGTGGCCCCTTGGTGTGGAGAGAGATGTTGAAGAAAGATAAACTGACAATGCAGGGTGTCACGGTGGTGTGGTGGTCATCACTGTCGCCTCACAGCAAAAACGTCCTGGCTTATACTTCACCCAGCGGCCTTTCTGTGTGGAGCCTGCATGATTGGTGGCTCTAAATTGCCCAAAGGTGTGTGGATGTAAGTGTGAAAGGTTGTTTGTCTCTGTGTCAGTTCTGCAACCAAATCAGGGTGAAACCCGTCTCTCGCCCGATGTCAACTAGGATGAACTCCAGCCACCCCGCAATGCTGCATGAAGGCTGGATGGAAACTGACAAGGTGAAGTTGCGTCTGGTTTAAATGGGGGTTTGGAAAATACCCCAACCGGTTTTGGAAGAGATATTAAACATAGATTTGGGGAACTATTCCAACAACACATAACCAGCTCTAAACATTCCCAGCAGACATGGCTGAGCTCCTGATCAGTTATGTTCTCCACACTTGTCATATTGCATATAAAATATACTATATTTATGTAGAGGTGTACTACACTGTTCCTCCACTCAGGGTCTCACACACCCAAACATGGTTATCATTAACGGAAATCCTTTTTAAAAATGCATAGCAGCGAATGACAAGTCTTAAAAAAAAGGTCTGTTTGATCCGAGGTGATTTTTGGGGCCGATTTGTGGTTTATGTGCCTCAAAATGAACAGATTCTCATCTCACATCTGCAGCTCATTACAGGGAGCTGATTTCCATGATGCGGTATCTGGTGGGGCAGCGTGGCACTGGACCATCAAAGCATCCAGCGCCCTTGTTTATCTGATTTTCAAACAAAAGCCCCCCAGTTCCTGCCCGCTTATCTGCCCCCCAAATTCTTTTCCTCCTCACCTCTCTTACTGCCAACAGGTCACAAGACAGAGAGCGGGTTTCCTGACGGATGTGAGAGCATCACCAGGACCAGATTAATTAGTTACAGCAGAGGGACCGCGGTAACAGGACGAGTTTCCTTGGTGCCCTCTGGGCCTGAACGCATGCCGACTGGAGGTGGAGGGGGGGGGTCACTAATACAGTTGTTGGGAATGACTTCTTTGTAAACAGTGCGACCTGGTGGTAAACTAGTGCAACTGGGTTTTTTGTTGGTAACACAAGTTTACATGTCAAATAAAAATGTACTTTAAAGCACCTGAAATATGTTTTTCCAACTAATCCAATTAATAGTGAGAGTACAACATCTGTCATGTTCATTTGTTACTACTCATTAGGCCTTTAATTGACAGTGACAGGCACATGAACAGAGAAGCGTTTCTTTTGTTCCACTCAGTGGGTGAATATGGGTGTTCAGGGGCGATGAAGTCATTCTCTTCTTGAGGTAGCTTCAAGGTTTCTGGGATCAGTCCAAATTAAGCTTGTGGTGTGTTTTAGCTTTTTTCCTCACTAAATTAAGTCTGTACTTTCAGTACTGAATGGTGGTGAAGTTCTTTATGCTAGCTATTAGCTGGCATGTAGCATGGTCAGAGCATTCTTCTATGATTCATGTTTTTTAATACTCCCTTTGCGAGGTTTAGGGAAATATGAGAAATGGCCACAGTATGTAGTGTTGGTGTCACACCCGTATGTCTAGTTGCGTCTTTGTCCTGTTTCCACGTTTGTTTTCGTGACTTCCTGTTTTATATTGAAGATTAACTCTCCTCTCGTTTCAGGTTCCTTTCCCTTCCTGACGTGTCACCAGTCTGATTGTCCTCCCTAATTCCTGATTGTGTCCACCGGTTCCCTCTGTGTTCATAAAGCCTGCATCTCCCGACGTCTTGCGCCAATGTGTCGTCTTACGTTGTCGTACCAGCCAGTGTCCAAGACCCGTGGCCATAGTTAGTCTAGTGATCATAGTTTTCACCTTGTTCGAGTGATTTTTCGTTGTTGCTCTTTTGTCCAACTTAAAGTCTCAGTGAGGTTAACTTAAGTAGCCTTGTTCCCTCCCTTGGACCTGGACCTTGGACCTTCGACAGTTAGTTGAGACCCAAAAAGACCATCTTCCATCTACCTTTTAAAGCATGTGAAAGAACAAGGTAGAAGACGGACAAACGGCAGTGTGAGGACAGTCCAGCCAACGGTGCTCGTATGAAAGCCAGTCATGCAAAAGCACGAAGACAGATCAATTTATTCAGTAAATAAACATATTCACAACAATAAGATAAATATTGATGACACATCTTTGGGGGCATTCCTCCGTTTCTTTTATAAATCAGCATGGTTTGAACATTGGAGATTAGATAAGATTAAACCTGACTTTATTTACTTTAAGAACAGTTAAACCGAGACAACGCACCTCGCCGACAAACCAACCCCTCGGCCTCTAAAGCTGAAGTTTAACATTTCTATTTTGGGAGAAGGCCCATTTCTCATCTTAGTTTAGTGGACATTTCCTGCATGCTTACACTGGACAAAAGGTTTGGGGGACGGCCGAGCGTGAACTATTTGACGCCATCCGTCGGATGGACAGTTAAAACGCAGGTGACATATTCCAAAACTGGGTAAGTTCTTATACTTCCAAAACAGGCCATGTCCCCTCAGCAGAGAGCCGGTTAAGCAATCTAAAGCACTTAGTGGAACAACTTCCTGCACCTCCTCCTAAAAATACTCACACCCCCCGTGAGCTCTGTGGGTCGTCTCTATGAGCACAACAGACAGCAGCTATATATAGAGCAGCGAGGATCGCTGGGAGACACAAAGGCCGCCGCTAAGGCGGGGGGGTGAATCCTAGGAATCCCAGACGGAGCCAAGCAGCATCTGGAGAGAGTCACGTCGAGGTCTGCTGTGACACCAACACTGGAGAGTACATTTTTGAAAGGACACGGCCTTCTGGTCCCTCAGCGCATACGCCGTTTCCTACTTTGGCCGCTACTCAGCATTTACGGGATGGGGGATTTACGGGATGGCGGTTTCAGCGACGCGCGGGCATTTCCTCAGCAAATCCAGAGGAGTCAATCCAGCAACCTTTAGCTGGACGTGGATGTTAATTCCTAATAACCACGTTGTCCATCTACTTACTCTCAGTGAGCTCTGACACTTGTTCTCTAGTCCAAATCAAATGTAAACTCTTCTCCATTCGAATGGCAAACTCAAAATGACACTTAAGACTTTTAAAGTAGCAATTTATGTTTAGAAGTGTGGCAGTATGAGACGCTGCCTCAAAACCAGTGTAGAAAAAGAGAGAAAGAACTCTGTCTTAGGGGTCTAAAGTACACCCACACTAGCACATCGCTTCGCTCCCCCCGTGCTGGTCCTCCCAAAACTGTAGTAATAATCCATGATGGTAATAACGAGCATGAAGATGTTACTCACACAACAGACAACGCTCTAAACATCCAGACTATCCTTAATTAAAATTAAACACTCCACTGGCAGGAACTTTAAACTAAAAGCACAGTAGAAAATGATCTTCTGACAGCATGCTTATGCATATCAACCTGAGCCAGTGACGATGAGAGAAACCAGAGGGAGCAACCAGAGTGCAGCTTTTCCCTCAAGATGCTTCTTCTTGAGGAGACGGTTAGGATTTCTATTTTCATTCCCTGGTGCACTTGAATGGAAACTGTTTCATAACCAATTACAAATTCTTCTTGCTGACTTTATAATCCAAATCGTTGGCGTGGTTGAGAAGCAGTGGATGAAAAACAGAAGAGAGGAGCTGGGAAACATTGACCCGACTCCCCCTTCACTCACTAATAGCAGAGATAGTTGATGATGAGCTTTGGTATGTTCAGTTGACCTATGACCTTCAGCGCTCTGGTGCCCAGCTCGGTCCTCAATGCCAACCTGCTGAGCTGCTGCAGGCTCATGGGGTTGCCTACAGAAGGGGGGAAAGGGCGATATAAAATAGTATTCTGCGCAAAAATTCTAAATAAATGGCGGATAACGTAATTGAATTCTTTAATATCTTTAATATGAATGTTGTATTTTTCTACTGTCCTCTTCATGTATTGTATTTAATAAAAGGCTGCCAGTGGAATAAAGAGGTGTTCATCACCATCTCCTTAGCAGTCACTGCACTGCCTAAACAACACTTGACATATGAGCATCTCTCTTGACACATTGACCTGGAAGTGAACAGCGATCCTGGCTCGCCATCTGCTGGTGCTGCGTCGATACTACGCTGTGGTACAGTTACACAACTCGATCAAACCAACCTTGTAAACAGTGTTTGTGTTCCGTGATGCCCGTACTTTATGGCACAACCTACTCTCATAAAAGGTCAGGCAGGTGGCAGAGGGAGAGCCTGGCGTGGTGTACTCCACAGGTCTCTTGTTGTGCTGGTCCCTGGCATAGACGTTGGCCCCGAACTCCACCAGCGTCTCCACCATCTCAACCTGCATGGTCTTGGCAGCGTGGTGCAGCGGAGTGTCGTGTAGCCTGGCGGCATTCACCTTAGCGCCTTCAAAGGAGAAGACCAGGACAAGGCGGACTAGAATACTTATATATATATATATATATCATTCTGTCAACATTCCATTGACCAGGCACATGCACAGATAGACCCCTTGTGGTGCTCAAGCACCTGCCCTTTTGCCCTGGACCAGAAAAGTGCGCCTTCTGCTGGAGCCTTGTTTTTTCTTCATTCATCAATATTTAAGAATGAAAACAACTCTCTCCGTCATCAATTCCCCCCAAATGTGTTTTGATATCTGACTGGCATTTATTCAAGTTCTTGTGAGCATTTCGTCCCGACATGCGCACAAGCCCCGCCCCTCCCTCCTCCGCTTAGGGCCCGTGCAGTGCTGAGCGCCAAACGGCTGCAGCATCAGACAAACAGGTGATGACGGTCCAAATCCCTGACGTTGTTTAGTGATAAATTAACGCAGCTGAAAACAATGCGTCGCAACTGGCCCAACGTTTCCTAAAAATAAACAAACAACAAACTCCAAAATCCGTGATTTCAAAGTCTTGTTCAGCTGTTTTCATGTTTAATGAAGAGAGAGACAGATACAGAGAGACAGAATTTAAAGGCATTTTTACGGTTCTAAAAATGAGACAAATTGGCCTATTTTTGGCCTATTATCGTGATTTCCTAGAGTTGTAAAAGAACTCCTGGTGATTAAATTTGCGCAGTGGGACCTAGGCTCTAAAAATTGCATTTTGTCGGAAGAAATTCCAAACTATGTGTGTAGGGAGCATTTTCAAAAAAACACCAATCGCCATGAAAATTGAAGTTGTTTTAACTCGACCATACTTCATCTAATCTGCACCATATTTCTCATGTAGCATGAACTTCTCACCCTGTACACATCCATATGATCATTTCGAACCTTAGTCATAGCGCCAGCTGGGTAAACCGGAAGTTTAATGTTTTTTTTATTTTACACCCTGCTCCTCACAGGTTATGCTCCTCAAAGTTTAATCTGATCCCTCTCGAAATGTCTTAGCAGAGAGGTAAGACCTTGATAATGCTTCACTGTGAATATTAGAAGAATCCGATAATCGGTGGCGAGAGGGTGCAGCGGCAAAGTTGATACTTCGCCAAGAACAACTAAATCATTGTACCTTTACTCCACATAATCGGATTCTTTCCAATTCACGCATGTTTGAGGAGACTCTGGGCCTGAAGAGATATAAAGTTGAATCAAGTCATAGCGCCACCTACTGATAACAGGAAGTCTCATTTTCTAGTATCCAGTAAAAATTAAGGTTTGCAGAGGCTTTAATTTGTAAAATGGTACATCAGAATATCCTGGTTATCACCAACTATGAAACAATTTTTTTTCTCCCTATTAAATCTAATCTGAAATTGACCAGATGTAGTCTTGTGATCGATATTTTGGCTCATGTATAGTCTTTTGAGAGGCTTTAATTTTGGAATAGTACATCAGAATGTCCTGGTATCGCTGAGTGACACTTTGGGAATGTGCACGATCAACCTGAAGTGGAAATATCATGTATCTATTGATCGCTTCCTTCATAAATAACATCTGAAATTGACCTGAAGTAGTCACGTGAGTTGTAGATCATTATGGTTAACAACAACTGACTTTCGGACGCTTCGTCAAACGCCCGCATGAGTTCTTAGCTGCGGTGCCCCCACATGCGGAGTAGCGAGGAAATAAATCAATCCAAGATTCTACTTAGTTGGCTAAACCATGCAGGTAACAAGTACTACATTTTCCCATCTGGCTTTCCAGTAAAACTCACCTGCATTGAGCAGTTCTTTCACGCAGTCCGTGTGTTTGTTGGCACAAGCCACATGTAGCGGGGTCCCGTAATAAAGGTCGTACGCCTCCAGAGAAGCCCCCGTGGCAATCAGCAGCCTCACGCAGTCAGAGTTTCCTGGAAAAGGACATGTATCCCCGTTTAACTTTCTTAGTGAAGATTAATTTGAGGCCCAAGTTGATCAGACAGAAGTCGCAGGAGTGTGACGTGAGCCGAGGCCCTCACCTCCCATGCAGGCCTCGTGGAGGGGCGAGGCCGTGCGGGAGGTGAGGGCAGGGTCGGCCATGGCGCCGTGATCCAGCAAGAGCTGGACGCACTCCAGACTCCCGGCCGAACAGGCTTCGCACAGCGGGGTGCTCCCGTCTACGTTCCTTGCATCCACCTGAGATGCATTACGGGACAGAAGATCATATACGAGGGACTTCAACCTCTTTGTCCACTCAATTGGAAGGATTCCTCTGGCAAAGCTGCTTATATGTCTTTATGCAAATCAATCTTTACTCACACACCTGACCTTAGTGCTACACTATCTTTAATGAATAGAAGGGAAGGATGGTGCGGGGTTCACCAGGCCGGTTGTCTTTTAAGGTCACCCGTGACGCAGCGGATCAGGGCCCGGCTCACCTGCGCTCCGGCGTCCAGCAGCAGGCGGACACACTGCGCCTGTCCCCGCAGACAGGCCTCGTGCAGCGGCGTGATGGAGTCCACAGCCACGATGTTGACCGACGCTCCGCTCCGGATGAGGAGCTGACCTGTTTAAAGTAAAGAGCATTGAGCTATTGGTCAAAGTTATATATATGTATTTACTGTTTATAAAACCAGCGATCTCCGTGTAACATGTTAGCAGTCGGCATCTAGCACACATGCCGTCCGACGTCAAACCGCTGTCAGGAGTCCGGAAAACTAACCGACCGTAAATGTCTTCGTTTCATACTCACCGACGTCCCCCCAAAAATATGGATGGGCTTGTTCAACCTCCATCCTGACCTTTTGTCTCCTGAAGAAATGATTGCGGTGCGCAAAGACGAGTTGTTTATAAACAGCCGCGTCTTGTTCATGTTTACATACGGCGGCCGTCACGTGACCAACCCGGAAGTCAAAGCGTACGCTGGGAGTGTTCGCACAGAAAGAACTAACACTTTTATTGGGAGTCTGAATAAATAACGCAACATTATACAAAATATCAGATCAGCCCTGAGTCACATGACCTTCATATGGCAGATAACCTCGTATTTTGAATAATACGCACATTTTTTTCTTCCCAGGTTGTCGGTGGCGAACGCGTTGGCTCCAAACTCCATCAAACACTTAATCATGTCGACTCCTGTGTGATGCAAGTCCATCTGGTGGAAGTTCACGTTGGTAAATGCAGGACGTAAAAAAGAGTTGAGGCCTGGATTTTAAACAGATAATTTGAATGTATTACGGTTTTAAGACCAATCCGCCCTCATACAGTGTTATTGGAGTAAACTATAAACCCTAGATTATCATTCCGTTCCCTTGGTGTTGTACCTCTCTTCGTCCTGCTGATACCAAACATGACATATGTTGAAATGTTATTAATCTCCAAGAATCAGAAAGCAAGGGAGTTATTTTAAAGCAGTCATGCCATGATCAGTCACTAAAATCCCATTTCGTCCCCACTCTGATGCTTGGTTTGAACTTCAGCAAGTTGTCTTGACCACGGCTTTACATGCTTAAATCCATTGAGTTGCATTGAGTTCTTTTGAGCTGTGTATACATCTGTATTGAAATGAACTGTATTCAATTCATCAGGAGCAGCTGATGTGGTGACATCAAGTCCTGCCGTCTTGGGGAGTCGAACACAAGTCCGTTCTCGGCATTGAGAAAAGACCTACAACATTAGCCGACGCTGTGTCGGACTCAGGAGAGCTTTGTGGGAGTCGTAGTTTATATGAGAGGTGTTCACTTAAACATTCTCCCCAACTTGGGTATGATAGGTTGGATGGTAATAGACAGGACTCATGCATTAGATATTTATTACATTTCATAATTGATGTAGTGAGGCGTTTTGCATATTTTATGTTTGTAGATGCTTTTTGCTTGTATACACACATATTCACTGTCATTCAATCCACACAGAAACAGGAAGGCAAAATAGGAATCAAACACAGCATTGATTTTTGATAAAGTTTTTACTTTGCAGTATAGAAATCATTTGAGCCCAAGATGTCATTTTAAGTTTTCAAGACATGAGATACCAAAAGAACTCTCATCAATTACATACTGCTGCAGTACACGTTTTGGTCCTTCTTAAGCAATTACAGTCAACACGTCCCACCAATCTGCTGTCAATGCTCAGAACGTCCCCCACTTTACATGATGCAGGAACGAACAGATGTCTGATGCATCAGAGGGACTCAAGCTGGTTGCAAAACACATTTGGGTGGTTTATGCTGGACCACGGTTGCCCTTGAGTGGCTTGGTTTGTAGGATGCGTCAGGCCTTGCTAGAGATATGAGAGGAAAGGCGTCTAACAAGAAAAATATATTTATATATAACAAAATACATTGACAGAAATATCAAGCCATCTTACCTACATAAGTGGCTAAAGATGGAAGCTGCAGGTTGAGGCGCTGGCTCACACGAGGTTCTGCTGAATGTGCTCAGAGGAAACCTCTATTAGTCGAATGATTTAAATCATACGCACAAAGTCGAGCCACTTCTGTCACATGAAAAAATACTTGCCGAGACCAATATTTGATGTATACATAATATTTATCTTCCAAATGTGTTTTATACAATGACAAACTATTTCAACACCCCACTCATATACCCACTTTTTAAGATAGCTTTTATGAATTAGCATTTGATTCGGCATCTTTGGACTATAAATCATCTTGACATGATGATGCGGTAGAAGGATGTAGGGCATTACTGTATACCAGGCATAACCAGCGTTTAGTGAGACATCCATCAGAGTGTGGGCTTAAAAAGCAAACTCCTTCGGTGAACCCTATACAACAATACCGTATTATCTCTATATATAATGAAGGGGCTAAACCATTTACTCGGATGAGCAGCCAGCCCATAGGTGTGTACATTTTTGTGTAGTTAATTTTATTTTTTTTTACTATTTTTTGTTTCAGTTGTCGCTGTCTGTAATCATCAGGATGGCAGCAGGCTTCTAGTCGCAGGCGTCGCCGAAGGTGTCCTGCTTCTTGCGCTCCATCTCGTTAAAGTCAAATTCTGAACCCGTCATTCTCTTGTAGATGTCTTTGATGTCGTCGCAGGTCGTCTCGAAGTGAGTTGTGGCATCATACGTGCGGGAAATGAAAATCTAGGGGAGAAAGCACATCAAAGAGGCCTTGTGTTTAACAGTTTCCTTTAGTGCGCAGAGACGGATGAACAGTCTAGTAATTCATCTCTATCAAGTACCGACTGAGTTTACAGGCGGATAGAAACAGACCACAGAAGTGTTTCCTGTGCACAAGCGCCCCTTTTCTGCTCACACAGCAAAACAAAAGTGCTAAAATGAGTGGCACTTCCTTCTGTTACGAGTGGATATGCATTACAACTTCAGATTTACCACAAAGCAGCACAACCGTTCAAGGCTGGAGTTACAATATTAACATAGAACACAGCTGATAAAATATGAAATAATGTCTGAAGGGACCGCCAAGAGGGTTCACTATGAGTCAATGAAGTGACCGGAAACAAGCAGAGGGTACCTGACTGTCAGCGCCCATGTCGGTGGGTGCGTACTGGTCACTGATGCTGACAAACTTCTGCTCAATGGGCGTCAGCAGGTCCAGGGCCGGCTTGAGCTCCTTCTCGGGGTCGTTCGTCTCCACCGTGGTGCTGACGATGGCGATGTACTTGCCTTGTGCCGCCACGTTGTGAGCAGAGGAGATCATACAAACGTAGATGTCTGGAAACCGGAGAGAAGACGGAGGTTAATGGAAGCTCGTGAGGTAGCAATGTGATTCAATGAATGCTACACACTATGAAGGTTAACTTGCTGTAGTTTTCCATTTATTGTCATGGTTTGGCATAGAGGCTGAAACCAGAGGTGTTGCTGGATTTGTACATGTAAGATAATTAAAAAAAATGTTTCCCATGTGTGCTCACCATGCTGCCTTTGGACCTGATTCTGGGGGATGATGATCTGGCAAGAGTTGATGTCACCAGTGTTGGCTATTGGATGACTCAAGATGCAGATGACACGGATCACCTGGCCAACTTTGGTGGCGCGATCCATGGCATAGCTGGGGTCGCAGATCAGCTGCTTGCACCTGGCGATCTGCGTTGGGGTGAACAACCAAAAGATCAGAGGTCACTGGAGAGGTTTGATTCCCAGAGAAAGGGTGAGCGACGCGCAAAACCCACCGCAGAGCAAACTGCTTACCTCTCCCTCGGACTTGACTCCAACCACCTTCCCGTTCTCCACCACAATCTCGTCGATGGGCTTGTTCAGCATGTACGTCCCGCCGTAAATGGCGCTCAGCCTGCCATGGGGGAAAAGGGTGTGAGATGTTGCTTCATAAGACATAGATCATATTCAATCATTCACAAAGGTAACATTAAGAACATGTCTACACAGTTTAGTTAATTATTCCGTTTGCCATCATGATCCAATTAGCTACACTCATCTTATAGCCTTTGCATTTAGGACACTGACCTAGTACCTGAACTCGGTGATGCGTTTATCGCTGCTCAACATGTCAACCATGTTAATAATGGGGCAAAGTCAATGAACTAAATACAACTTTGTATTCTAGCATTTTGCTCATTAACAGATTTTATTCACACAGCTGACGGCCTTTGATTTCTTTTAACTCAAGCATTGAAGCATCCTTTTTACTTGAACTCCACTTTGTGCAGCAGCACGCAGCTGAAACAAAATGATTCGTAGAAATATTGAGTATTGAGAGTGGGTAAAGAGGGTAAAGGGAGAGGGTCCTACCTGGCGAACCCCTGAGGCAGTTCTCCCAGGCCGTACAGTGGGTAGAGGTACGGGCTCTTGCCGTATCTGGCCAGAGACTCACTGTAAAGCTTGATCCTGTTTATCGTCTCAACGCATGGCTGATCCAGGTAACTGAGGGAGGAGGAATAGAGACCATTTTAAAAAAGCGGCATCATTATCAGATGCAATCTACGTTTTATTGTCAAAAAAGAACAATTTAACAACTGGAGTACTGACTCGTCTGTGCGGTAGAGGGCAAGGGAGTGGCCCGTGAAGTCCATGACCTCCTGGCCCAGGCTGAACTTTTGGAAAATGGCCCTCATGGTAGTTTTCTGGGGGTCGACGTCCTCCATGGATTTGGGGTTGCTTTCGTCGAAGTTGGAGACAAACTGGAGCAATTTCTTGAAGCGCCGTTTCTCAAACAACCCCATCAGACCTTTGTTAGGCGAAAAGGAAAGCTTTACAGCGACTACTTCAAAACAACGCCAAGTAAGATGAAGATTACTTTGCAGCACAGTAAATCAAAAACATTCCCCTCGACGGTTTCAAGCACATTTTTGTTTTCGCTGTTCGATTGGCCACTGGGTGCTTAAATAACTTACTAGATGACAGAGCCTCTGTCTCAGTAGAGGGAACTTTGTGGATTTTGCCCCCCTTGTAGACAAAGCTGCCCTCAATCACTTTGAAGTCCAGATACTGGGTCACCTTAGTGATCAGCAGCATGCGCACCAGCTGACCTGAGGGAAGGAGACACAAACATCTGCATTAGTTTCACAAAAACACTAAATAACGCCGTTGCTTAAAGCCGGGGTGCTGCTGCATACGAGTTTTCAGTCTTTTAAAAGTGGTCATAAAGAAAACTGCTTTATAAACTGCTGCACTGTAGAAAACTAGCCCATGATGGGAGACTTTGGCAAATCACAGATTATTTCACAGGGAGGACGTTCCAGTTGCCTGTTTTAAAAAAAAGTCACTTTGGTAAACGCAGGTTTCAACATTGCAATGTCCTGCAACCAAAGTAGCAATAACAACTTTTGCCTTGCCAACAACATATTTCAAAGAAAGCTTGAATATATGTGTGATAAAGAGAAAACACTGCTAACAGGTTAGCATTCTAAATTATTAATCTCACCCAACACACACACACACACACACACACACACATTACCATTGGCCATTAGGAATTTCGGGATGAGGTCCACATTCCAATCCCGTCCTTTTCCCATCGAATCAGAAGGTTTTCCCGGGAGTTCAAAGCGCTTGTAGAGCTGTAGGGAAACAGAACCAGACTTAACTCCCAAGCTACAATTAATAACAAATATACCAGAAATACATTTCAGGAACACATTAAAGTCACTTTACAGACCTTGACAGATACTACTGTAAAAAGTGCAGTGGTCTTCTAAAATGCACCTGATAATTTAACAATATGCATAAAATCTACCCATCTGAACAACCGCCTTTATACTGGTTTCAGAGACTGTTTCTCCATCCGTTTCCATATGTCGGCCTTAAAATACATGGGAAATATTCAGATGTTTATCAATAACAATTTCACATTCTGCAGTTCTGGCTTCCTTTTGCTTTTCATTTAAAAGCCCAGCGACCGGCTCAGTGTCTCAGAGCAGAACCAGCAGCATCATAGCTCAACTTACATCTTCAAGAGGCGTGATAGAGGCGCTCTCCCCTCCGTAGTAGGAGTTGCGGTCCATGTGCAGAACCTTCTTCCCCTTCACAGACATGATTCCTGATAGAATGCATTCCTGTTGGCAGGAAAACAAACAAGAGGAAGAATTAGACCAGCACCAATAGGAAGGTATTGGTGATCACCGGAACACAAAACGTGTGTGTGTGTGAGATTGATCCGTTTGTGCTCCAATGATCCAGCTTACATTAACCACCTTCTAATACAGCGTGAAAGATGGGGGGTGGGTTGTACAAATGAATGTAGTTATAAATCCAACTTGTTTAACAGAAATACAAGTCAGACGCACACTGCCACACCCAGTACTAACATAATGTCTGACATACTGCTGCGGTTTTGGGAGGATGATTATGGCCTTCAGATGGCTTGAAGTCTCAGAGCCTGGGTTACGAGGAGGGAAAATGTGCATGTTGACCCGAGACTGGAATTCACACAGACCAAAAGCCATAATGCGATTACTGCGTGCCTCATGTGACTGTGTGGACTTTACTCAAAAAGATTTACTATTGACTGACAGCTGCAGAAAAACGGCCACGCATGGTATAACTTGTTCCTCGCATGACCAAAAATGAAAGAACAGGGCCTCAGAACTTTCTCTGGATGAGGTCACCTTGGATTCTTTGATGAAATTGCACTTTGTTTCTTGCTCCAAGTTTGTTTCCCTATGGTTCAATGCACCTATTGTAAGTCGCTCTGGATAAAAGCGTCAGCTAATTGACATGTAATGTAATTCCTCTTTCTGGAGCCTGTAATGAGACAGGAACTGTCAGGGTTTGTACCATTTGTCTCTTTCAGAAGTGAATTTCTGTCTGCCAAATAGGGCTGTCAAAATTTCTCAAAAATGACGTTCGAATATTTGCTTTAAAAAAACACATTCAAATATATTTGTTAATAATATCTGGTTGTGCATTAGACATGTCAGTAACAGGACAAATTAGTACAACGAGACAGAACTACTTGTAAAGGTAATTTATTTAAGTTTAAACCTATTCAACAACATATTACCTGCACAAAAATAAGTAAATTAACCGCCAAGACCAAGGCGGTGGCACCAAGGCAGTGTGAGTGAGATCTCTCACTCGCACCGCCGTGATCTCTGCTTAAAGCGGAGAAATGAACGACAACAATAAACAAGGTCCCAATTCTTGTCCCACATATGGCTTCATTCAGTGATTTAAAGTGAAAGTTTTACCATAACGACATTGAACGCTCCGAGCGAGCTGTGCTGTAAACACGGAACTTTTCCTTGGCATGAAACGACAAATAATCAAACTAGTGCATGAAGCTGTTGTAGCCCAGTAGCCTATCTAGTCTATTTTATTCATGCAATATAGTCAATACAGGCGCGTGTCCACCCGCAAAGCACAGTCGTGCCGCTGCCGCGGTTGTGTCTTCTTTTTTTTTTTTACATTCAAAAATTAATTTTCACATTCAAATAGTTTTTAACAACCATTCGAATATATTTGAATATTCAATGACAGCCCTAGCGCACACAAAGGGGAGCACACTAGGACAGAGCGTGCAATGGATAATAACGATTAATGGATAATAACGGTTTTTGTCCATACCAAACCACCCACCCAAAGCCGTTAACCTCAGAGAAACATTGATCTGTAAAATTGCAGCCAAGCGAGCGGCACAGCCTCCACCGGCCATTACTAGATTGGATCCCTGTTATCACCGGCATGAATCCACCAGTTCAACACGCAATTAATTTGTATTAATATCACATGTACCACAGACATTTTTAAAATCATGACTTATATGATTATCATGACTAATATTTGTCAATTTACCGCCACACAGTACCTGGGACAAGAGGACTAATGGACGTGTAAAAATGCATTGAGACCTTCAAACGCCCCCGTCATAACTTCAGGGACTTATTGACTCCAGCGTTCTGCATAGGTCCTCTCCCAAAAGAACACCTGTGGCAGTGAAATCGGATCACCTCTTCCTCTATGTTCTGAGTTTGCCCTGCCGTGGACTTGAAGGATATAACGCCAGACTGCATGTACATTTCTGGGGAAGAAAGAGCAGTTCTGATGCGTCACTGTCACTCCTTCAGGAGTCATGTGACTAAAGCTGACCGCCTGCTGCTCATGAATGCAGACTTTGACACATGGCCGGAGACAGTGGAGTCACCACTACATCAGCCAGCTAATAGAGGCCATGCTGACACAGAGGGGGGGGGGGGGGAATAAAACACTGATCACGCGTACAGTCAGGCAGAAATTCAAACGAGTATTCAAACATTGTGACCAAAGGCTAAATTCCCAGTTGCATTTTAAACACATAAGACCCATTTAAAAAAGAGTATAAGAGGCAACGAAGAAGACAAGTGCTGAATGTTTCTCAGTTCACAACGTTGCCATCACATGATGGGGAGTTACAATCACTGCAGGACTATAGATGCTCTCCGTTTACAACACTGTAAAGTGTTTCAAGCCACAAGAATCAGATGGGCTTTTATTCAGATACACAGCAGATCAAAGTTCAACATGCAAAACATGTGATGAGCTTATAAAAACAGATGGGAATGTGTTGAGCCCTTTTATTTTGAGATTTTCCCAGCAGAATTGGTTTAATATTAATTGTAAGTACTGATGCAAATAGCTAAACTTCATATGGTATAATTGATTTAAGGATATCCCTCATTTATTACACAGCGGCTGAAGGACTCATTGTGTCCATTTCCCCATTTTGATGGCACAGAGATAGCAGCAACTGTAAACTCCTTACCGGAGATTGAAAACATAACTTAGTATTGCAAAAATAATATTTTAAGCTTAAGGACTGCAACTTAAACATTGTGTTTTTGGAATAATTACCAATTCTACGATTGTATAAATGTTCAAAAATACAAAAAAAAAAAAAAGTTAATTTCACATAAGATAAGTGCAAAATCCCCAATTATAGGAAGGGATGTTTGGCATTATTGTTTGAGAACTACCTTTACGATTGACTAATATAGTTTCAAAGTTTTGAATGGATAAGTGTTCAGTATTGTTCTTAGAATAATCACTAATATTTCCCCCACAACCACTGGAGATTTTTCAATCAGTGCTGCAGGAAAGAGTCCTGGAAATCAGTCAGCATTTCGCCTTTCCCCTTCACCTCCGAGTCAATGGGGTTTTGTTTAGATGGCCTAAATAAGATCCGTGGTTAAAACAAGCTCAACAGATAATAATGTTCCTTTAAACTCTATGAAAATACAATACAAAATATAAGTCAGTCGCTATGTAGAATATGTAGAAGCCAAAGAAAAAAACACGGAAACACAACGAATCTTTCCGGCCATCTACTAAGGCGCCATGGGATTAAACAACGCCGACAGTCAGGCACCTCTAGCAGCGTCACCGCTGCAGCAGCAGCGTCACCGCTGCAGCAGCAGCAGAACTTGCAGACACCTCAGGCCTCGCCAGCACGAAACTCAACATCACAGTAACAATTGCCAGGTTTATCTGTAAAGACATGCAACCCTACAATGTGGTTGAAATCCGGGGTTCTGTGAATTGATCCAAACATTGTGTAATTGTTGTGTAATGTTTACATTGAAAATGGCACTTGATTCAAATAAAAGGTTAATACATTTGCCGTTAATTGTTGTTTGCTTGTTTATAATATCCATAATTAATTTAAATCTGATTTCCTTACAAGAAACAACAGGGATCTCGGAAACTTTGCCTGCACTGTCCAGTAAAGTTACTGAATCGATTTGAAGTCACTGAATCGAATTGTTCTAAATTAACCCAGATCGTCCATGAATCGAATCGGCAACCATGAATCGCGATTCGAATCAAATCGTTAAAATGAATCGTTACACCCCTGGTTTTAATGCAGCACTCCATCAATGTATGCTGCGTATTCTTCAGCCCACCACCGCTAATATGCCACCGTCTTCTTCTCATCTTCAGGCAATGAGCTGCTCACTTGGAAACACAGAGTGTCACGACGTGAACCAGATCGCATTCAGGTGCAGTTTCATATCTTTAGCCGAGCAACGCCCCTCATGGGTCATTAGTGGTGGACAGATTGGGAAACACCATCATCGTGTCACAATAAGGGGACACCATTGGGTGCTCAAAATATTCCATTGAAGAATACAAAACTAGTTGAGTATTGTTGCATAACTAGTAACTAGATAGTATCAGCATTTGGCATGGCCTGTTAGTAGTCATAGTAGTGCTAGTGTGGGTAACATAAAATGGAAATCCGTTGGATAAACAGAAGTGAAGTCACCCATTTGAATAACGGAACTAAAACCGAGCTTTAGTGCAGCGGTCTGTTGGGCTTTTCAGGCAGGCACGCGGCTCAGCGCTCAGATCACTTCTGTGTGCTTTCACTTCCTTGGTCTTGGTGAAACTACACCCAAATGTGAGCTAAATCAACACACTTCACCGTGGAGCTCAGCAGCCCCCTCACTGCTCCGCTGGCAAAGCACTGACACCTCGGTCTGTTCTCAATCTGATGCCCTGAAGTACTTTCTCAGCAGACAAACCGGAAAATCCAGGAATGCGGATATAGAAGCGGTTGCTATTAAATAAACAAAGCAGAGTTTGCCTACCATTCATTTTGACACCAGTTAGTGTCCAATGCAGATGGGCATGTTCTTGAGAAAATATTAGCGTATTGAAATGAGACGTCAGGCCCGCGGTGTGACGAGGATATGGCATGGTCGGTTCTGACAAGCTTAAAATCTCGGTACCAAACCGCTAGACACGGAAAACAGGTGGCGACCTGTCACCTCACATCCTCCTCCGCTTTTCTGGCTTTTGGTAAGAAAGTTAAAAACGAGCCACGAAGTTAACTTTGCTCAAGTTCCTGACTGACAGCGACACGGTCCACATTAATACTGTGGTTTTAGATAATCAGTGTGTATGGTCCGTTCCGTAAACTACCTGGTCTTACTAAATTCAACCGACTTTAATTAACTTTGCCACAAATCATAAAGATTGTAAATGGCAGCTTCTTTATACTTGAATCCATCACTCGGAGACGAGCATAAGAAGGAAGCCGTAGTTAACGTAACGCTAGGGAGCTCCTTAATGGTTTATAATAATTAGCTTTGATATAAATAACACTACTAAGACTATGATAAAGTCAACAGAGTCCGTGAAGCCGCCACGTCGTTATTCAGTTGTTAGCAGGCTAATTAGTTAGCTTATTTCGGGTCGGCTAACGTTAGCAGACTAACGTAATCAAGGCGTATAATCTTGCCTTGACGGAGAGCCTGGCGTCCACATAACCGGTTAAATGACAATGGTCTCTACATTCACAGTCCCCGGAACAACTTTAATAAATAGCAACAGTTACCGTTCAAAGTATATTGAGTACATTCACAGTTACCGTTCATATTTCCATACACTGATAGCATTTGAAGCTAGCATAGTGCTAGCAGTTAGCTACTTTGCTCGCAGTTTCCTTTAACTAACAGGTAGTCACCCGCCTTAAGTTAGCAGCTAAGCTAGCTACTTAGCTCTAGCGCTGCTGATTAGGCCTTGTTAGTTCAAAGCCAAACAACCAGGCGCTTAAAGCTACTGCTTCGGTAACAGGTTGCAAATCACTTCCGCGCTGCGGAACGCAACGTTTGATTCTTCCTCACCGTAAGCCCGGTGCCCAAAACGATAACGTCGTATTCTTCATTCATTTTTCCAAATCTTTACTCCTCCGCTGCTGAGTATCGGGAAAGAAGAAAATGGAGATCTGCGGGGCTGGAAATGAGAAGGGGCTGCGGTTCAGCGTCAGGCGCCTCGGAGGCGGGGCTTACCATCTGTCAATCACTTGGCAGACGAGCGAGGTGTCCGTATGGAAATACAATATAGAACGATAATCACATTTTCTTAAAATATAACTATCCAAGTAACCAATTGTTAAGCATTTTATCCACTTAACCAAAACTGAGAGTGGTTTTGTATGTCATTTATTGTTGTACGTGTTCCTTGCAGTTTCCTAACTACCAGCCTGTATGTGGAATACTTCACTCTCATTCAATTAAGTTCTATCTATTTTAAAATGTCTACTTTTGTAGGAACTCATTCTTTCATATAAGGGATGCCATTATTGAGACTACAGTAATGATGTACAATGCATTGTGGAACCCGTTTCACTGTTTGTGCTGCCAGAGTGGACTACATTTCTGGTCGACACACCTGTTGAGTAAATCAGTAAAACTACAACTACAATACATTTAGTCAAACACATTTATAAACAAGACTTTAATGCAAAGTATCGCACAGCAGCCAGCTGAAAAGAATGTTGCTAATGGTTGAAGCTCATGTTTTTCTTTGTGGTATATACACAACGTATACGTTTAAACAATTCCTTTTTACACCAAACTGCATAGCGTTATCTAAACACAAGGCTCACTCCCATGTGTCACCCATAATGGCCTTTTTAAGTTATACTCTACTTTAATTTAGTTGAAGTCCCACAATTGTACACCCTAAATTGATAGACTTTAAATGACGGTTTTTGCATCCTGCGCACCTGATGCCATGTTACGGTGGGTCTGGTAGGCCACGTTCAAACACTCGCACTACTTCTGGTTTCCTGGCATGCTGCATTGCTGTCCTGCCACATGCGTCCTCTGAGTCTTTGAGTCCGAGCTGCAGGAGTGTCCTGGCGGCATCGACGTGCTGCCCGATGCAGGCCATGTGCAGAGCTGGGAGGAGAGGAGAACACAAGATTTTCTTCCATAGACGCCGTGTTAACTAGTTATTTCCTCGGGATTTCATTTCAACAGAGCACTTGAATAAAATGCTCCTGAGCTCCCAAACCTAATATTTTCATAGTGTTCTTAAATTAACTGTGTAATCAATAGCAAAAAGGACAAGTAACATTTTTATTCAGATATCACCACCTCGTCCTCAAAATGACATAAAGCCGATCATCTGAGCTTGGCTCTTGCAAACTAATTTAATGTTTCTCTCTAAACTTGAGCTTCCATCTTTGTTTTATTTAATAATAATATAGATAAATGCTTGAGATTTGAAACCACATTTCTAGTGGCTTTAATTACCCCAGACAAAAGGCTCCCCGCTGCAGCTGGCTGCTAAACCCAACAAGGAGAGAGTCACTGCTCACCAGTTCTACCCTTTCTGTCCCGAACATGAAGATCTGCCCCCAACTCTCGCAGAGTTTTTATGGCGGACGTGTGGCCTTCCTGTAAAGCACAGAAGGAAATCGGTTGATCTGCACGCTGTCGTTTAAAACGTCTGTTGGTAGGTCTGTAAATGTTCCGATATCGTAACCTTACTACTGGCACGTGTATAAATGACAACCATGCAGCCAGGAATAGTTTGATAGATAAGTATGTTATGCTCCTTGCATCACCCAAAATACAGCACAGAAAACAATTATGTCATTAATATAAATCTGTGTAAACAGAGCTGTGAACTTGTCTTTACTTACCCTTTACTTAATTCATGTTCACACACACACAAACACAGTGAGATGTAAATTATAGGTCCATGCTGTGAGGATGGTTGTTCTTCATCATTGTGATCACATGTCTCAGTACCAGTTGTTAAACAATCCACTACAGTCATTGGCCTGGTTCCGCACCAGCCCAGTGTGGTTAACGCTAGATATTTCACGATTTTCCATTATGTTTTAGCTTTTCATCCATGTAGCTAACAGCTTATATGTGTCTGTCTCACGATTCATTAAGAGTTTCATTTTCATTTGTTTTAGCAAACTATTCTCCAATTTGTCCTCAAAGCGAACAGTCACTGCTGTTAGTCATTGCAGCTAACCTTATCTCTGCTCACCTGCTAACTGTTTTCTATGCATACTAAAACATGGTTTCTCAGTGTGTTAATGTATTGTTTAATCAAAATGATTTGAACTACCCCCTCAATCTTTGCACGCCTCTCTAAGCCACTGCAGAAGTATCCCCTCAGGGTACTTGTACCCTGGTTTCTGATCCCACCTTTGCAGCGTAATGCAGCGCAGTGAGCTGGATGTCAGTGGCCCTCTCATTCACGTCTATGTTTAGGTCTCGCACCAGGAACCGCAGCGCCTCCTCCTGGCCCGTGACGGCGACCTGGTGCACCGCCTGAGCCCCGAGTAGGTCAGCCGCTGTTGGAGAGGCCTGCAGCACAGAGACACACACATGTGTCATGTCGTGACAGTACACATAACTACTTAAATTCCTAGAGAAGCTGAAGCGCCTCCTCGTACTTGGTGTTTCTCTAGAAGCTGCCGGGCCACAGAGATGTGTCCGTTCCTCACGGCATCCATAAAAGGAGTGACTCCACAGCTGTCAGTGCCGTCCGGGACATAGCCACATCTGGAAGAGGGCCAGGTAAAGGTGAGGGTCAGTCATACATGGTTATAATCATACAGCTCAGAACCCATGAAGCTATATCTACATCCCATATGAAATTGAGAGTGCGAGTGTTGCCTTTCCAACAAAACTGAGTCCACAAAAGAAATGGTAACCGTCAGTCACCATTTGTATATGATGCAAACACAACTCCAAACAAATGCAAATGTTGCTTATTATCTGTTCAGAGGTGCAACCTTTTGCTGAAGTATAATAATTGGCACCAAGTAAAGTTGCCGTTTTCATCCATGTCCGTGCATAATGTCAATATTTTGTTCTATAAAGACACCTGTGTGAAATCATATGAATTGTTGAGTTATGGGCCAAAAAAAATTTTGGTTAGGTCACAGTAACGTTATAATCAGACCAGCCACGGCCGTTGCCAACATGGAGGTATAACAAATAAAATGAATATTAACTTAAACAGGTCACAAGAGGCGTTTCAAGCTTTGATTCAAACCTTTCACAAATTGGACTCTCCGTGTAGTATTTTTTGGGGATGTACAAATGTCCAACCTACCTCTCCAGCAAGATCCTAACCACCTCCTCACGGCCGTGCATTGCTGCAAGTCCGACAGAGAGAGAGAGAGAGATGGTTATGATCTGAGGATCCGATCATGTATCCGTGGCTATGAGGGATGCCTTACATGCAGTGTGTAGCGGAGTCCTGCGCGTCTTGCTCTCCGCCCTCCAGACGTCCGGCGCAACGAGAAGCAGGTGCTGGACGACCAGCGGCCCGCCCTCCCTGCAGGCGATGTGGAAGGAGTTCCAGCCGTCCTTATTTTTCAGTGCGGGGTCGGCGCCCCTGCTCAGCAGCTCCTGGACCACGCCCAGGTCCCTCCGGGTGCAGGCCATCATCAGCGGAGTCCTGAGAGAGAAGAGGCAACGCTGACCAACTGAAATCTATGTTGGCCAGCAAATACGTAACAACCGCACAATCCCATAAACACATATTTATCTATAAGAATTGTGAGGTAGTTTTCTCTAAGGTATAGTAGACATATAGAATGAAAAATGACTATTAAACATTATATGAGGGGAGAAATACTTGCGAATTACATTTTAATTTGTAAATAGTTCACAGCAATGATCAAATTTAATCTTTATTATGCTTTTAGACCAGACACCATCAGATGAATTGTAGGATGAAAATGTTGGAGAACATGGTTGGTTGTCCCAATCATTATATCTCGTTTTCTCAAATGCTGGAATGGAATCGTCCGGAGTTAGAATCAGAGCTTGCGACTTTTACACAATGGATTTCAAACAAAACAGTTGTTTCCCTTAAAAAGGGTGAAGGGAAAGCTATAGTTTTGATTGTTTGAAATCTCCTTTCTTGGCTTCCTTTTATCATTTGCCCGTTGGAATAACATTGTGACCATCATCCCCGTAGCATGTGATGGTTGTCAAAATGTGTCATTTTGAGTGTCTTTGATAGTTAATTACCTCTTTGTTACAATAAATTGATAAAATGGGAAGGAAAAGCACATTTCAAGCAAACACCTTAAGCTTTACTTTAATGTAGGAATGACTGTTGAAAGACGTTTTGATGATGTGTGAAAGTGTGACAACCAACCCCGTTCTCCCCTTCATATTGTTGGGATTGTGAGTGATTTGAGTGCTTGAGGCTTCATTTTGGGCGTTTTCTTTGACAAAAAAAAACGCTCAGCTCTGGGAGTACAATTTTACCATAACATAACCATTTTAAATTATAAACTGCCAAACATTTCGTATATAATATTAAAATAACAATAGGAAGTCATAATATCCAGTCGAGTAACAGAGAAAAAAAAACCTCCTTCGAGCCGGATTTGAACCAGCGACCTAAGGATTTCAGCCTGATACCACTACAGTCCTCCGCTCTACCAACTGAGCTATCGAAGGGAGATACCACAACCACGGCAAAATGTCATTATTGTACCAAGAACAGGGTACAGACGTAATATTCATAACGGCGTTATATTGATTGTGATCAGTTAAATATTGTCTTACTAACCAGTCAGCTTTCTTCAAGCTGTCCACCTTGGCCCCTTCCCGGAGGAGGTAGCTAACACAAGCCTGGTGGCTCATGGAAGCCGCTTCGTGCAGTGGCCTCTTGTAGTCGTTATTGTAGACCTCCACATCCATGCCTACCCGCTTTATTAGATACTCCACTGTGTCCAGGTGTCCCTTTCTGGCAGCGTAGTGTAGCAGGGTGTCCCCTGAGCGACCATAGCGTTGGCTCCTGACAGCCTGAGCTGCAGCCGAGCCACCTCGCGATATCAGTTCCTCCAGAGAGCTTAACTGTCCCTCCTGGGCGAGCTTCGCCAACAGTTTACACGTGCTTTCCTCCATGTCGGGTGGAAGCTAAATGCTGCAGCTAAAAGTCAACTTACTACTCTAATCACAGTGACGGAAGCTGTTAGCTGGGTTTGTTGAAGACATTCTGGAGGCAGCTGTTTGGGTTGTTTTCACAGAGGAGACAAATAAATGATTGGTCAACCATGACCTTACACTGCTAATATCTATACATACATAAAGACAAAGGAAAAAGGTTAAGGACAGAAGAAAAAACAATTAATAATTAATGACATAATAGAGTAAATGGAGTAAATTCATTGTTCACATTTGGCCCTAATCCCTTTCCGTAGAATGTCTTATCGCGGAAGCGAGGTAAGTGCTCTATAATTCTTTTCAATAATTTCAATATTATGTTATTATTATAGTTCATAGATCAATGTCATCAATGCCAACAGTTTTGTGACAATCAAAACTTTTGACGAAGGATACACTTCAGTCGCCCTTTTTCCGGCGGAGTGACACGCTAGCATTTGTGGGAAATGTAGGTTTTGTGACGTATTGCAATTTGTCTCGCCCCCCCCCCCCTTGTTTTAAAGTTATTTTTCCCAGAGTACGACTTAAAGGGATTTTTTTCTTGCATTAGATCACGAAAATTACGATTTAAGTAGATGCTTTATCCCACAAGTTAATGTTTTGTAGCATAGAGCAAGATGTTTTTTAGAGAAACTAACCACCAGGGCTTTGTGTGTTACTCCGAAATACATTTTTCAGAATCACCGCCGATACTATGAAATGCGGAGAGCGACTTATCCAGATTCTGGCTGGGTGACAACGAGGAATCAGAGCCATGGCGAATAAGATGAGTCCCATCTGGAAGAGGGAAAGAAAAAAAAGGTGGGAGAGGAGACACATTGTTGGCGAGGGTAAGCGAGGATAAGTCTCACTCCTCAGTTTCACGACATGGACCATGAACACCAGGAATGAGAATGCCCACCTTCTTCTTTCCCGGTATGTTGGTTAAATTTGTGACCTTTCGAATGTGCTTTAAATTGTGCTACATGACTAATGAGAGAAATCTGAAACCAACAGGTACACACCTCTAGTTATCTATGTGAATCTCTCTTCGTTTTATGGAAAATTATTTAACTCCATTGCAAATCTATGAAAAGTTATAGATATCTTCTTTATGGTGAATTTGAGTCCTGAACAAGTTGACTGTTTTTTTTGTATGATGACTTAATTGTTATTGTTTGCACCCCTGTCTTGTAAGAGTTGGCATGCAAATATCCGTGTGTGTGTGTGTGTGTGTGTGTGTGTGTGTGTGTGTGTGTGTGTGTGTGTGTGTGTGTGTGTGTGTGTGTGTGTGATCACACCGTGAGAACAGAGAAAGCTGGTTGCTACATTAAAAAAGAAAAATTCTGCAGCTCACTTCCTTGATGATGCCCTTAAGGGGACATTAAAAAAAATATTAAATCAAATAATACTGGGTGAGAGTTCCTATTTGTTGCTAGAATTATGCTAAAACATGAACAAGGTGACTTTAAACGCATTGCGATTTGAGAACACAGGGAATGTAAGCACAATGCATTTTAATGTGGAATGTCTTGAGTGGATTACCATGCCGGCCGAAGGCAGAGTTTTAAGAGTTTATTATCTGGAGTTAACAGGGTCCAGATGTTTGGGCAATGACAAACAAACCAGAAACAAATGCATGACACAAACTGCACGCCCTACCCTCGTTCGGTTACGGCCTGCAGGTTTCTGAGGAAGTGCTGAAACATATATAACAGACATGAGCCACTGCTGCGTGCCTGAAACGGATCAGTGACTTAAAAGTGTGCCGTTTCCTGCCGAAGCCACAACTCACCAACAGAGAATGAGTTGATAATTCAAATAGGACGGAGAAAGTAAAGATGGAACTTGACTTGACTTCTGCATACAGGCATTCAGCCCTTTCCACAATAGACATTGGTTGGCCCCGTTCCATTTAGGTGGGTCGGGCTCAGGTATTGTGCATCCTTGCATTTCCTGAAGCCGCTAGTTGCACACTAAAAAGAAGGGCACATTTATAAATGTAATCAATCAAACCTGTTAAACATGCTATTACTCTCTAAATGGCTGCTGTAAAATGGGTTCTATGTATGTATCTCTGAGAAAATACATTTGCTGGACACTTAACTGCCGCTATCTTGGCCACATAACGAAGGGGGAGGTTCCAGCTGGTCTGGTGAGAACATCAGTGTTTTTTATTGCTGGAATTTAGCTGTTTATCATTATTTGGCGGCACATAATAAAACGCAGCTGCCGTCACTGTAATCTGTCATTATTTTCCGCTTAGTGCGGAGCAGCAATTGGAGTCACATCTACCCTGTCGAAATTCCCACAATACGCTAGAAACTACATCGTGTACGCAGTGTACTATATGGAAGTGTACTGGCCCAAAGGTACCCAAATTGAGACAATGGTTTGACAGAAACTTATTTAATTTGGAGGAACCTTCCTTACCGATGAAAGGAAGGTACACTGGTTCCCTTTTGTCGAGGGAACCAGTGTGATGCTTACTTCTGGGTTGGACTACAATAATATTTGAACCCTGCAGCACTCCGTCTCCTCTGTTTGACTAAATATCTCTCTCTATCGCTGTGTGTTTGTAGATGTTGCTGGAAGCATGGATGAAACATGAATGTCCTGAGAAAAAGTAAGTAAAAAAGAAACTGATACAAACATAATGTGGCTGGTTTGTGGTCTCAGGCTCTATCCATTGACATTAACATAGTTGTAATAACAATAGCATCAGTGTTACTTTCTGCACAGGCCAGTGAGTAAATCCCCATCTTTCTGTGTGTGGGGTGGTTCTATGGTACTACTACTAGTATTACTACTTACATACCATTCCTTAGAGAAATTGAGTATGTAATTGAATAAAATTGAATATAAGTTATTTTGTTATTTTGGCCTGGTATTATCTCAATTTGACTGACTGTAGCTGGCAGTCAACTTTAGAAGCGAAAGACAAATTGTATTTGCGCTACAGTTTGACATCTAAAGTTCAAAATGACCTGGCCGTTACATGCTGTGCAAGTATGTCTTGAAGAATAGACCTTTCGTAAGCTGGACTGTCTCATTTCCCCGCTTCATGCCTCCCTGATAAACCCCAGAAGCCGGGTGCTGAGCTAAAATCAACTAAGCTCATGAATTATGATAGTGTCCACTTTCTCGGCAGAGTTTAAAGTAAGTATTAAGAATAGCACAATAAGAAATGAGTAATTTCAAAGTATTTCTATTCTTTGATATAACTCATCAGTAAAAAACTCCCGTGGGAATTTGACATGTTAACATGTCTTAGAAAAGGGCGCCAACAAGTTGCTAATGGAACTACATTAGTGTTTCATTAATGCTTCATTAAGGTGGTGTTCATTTGTGGAGATTATCTGGCTGACCCGTGCCTCTCCCTGTGTTTAAGTCAACCGGGTCCTCCTGGTGCTGCTGGTGCTGATGGTGTGTCTCCTCCTCCACAGTACAGTGCTCAGAAAGTCCACTCGGCCCAAACTCTCAGGTACACCCACACAGGCTTTATTCAAATCTGCAAAGATTAAAGGACTATTGTTTACTACTACTATTTACTATTAGTTCCTTTTTGCCCCGTTGTTGTTCAAACACTATTTGAACACACAATGAACAACACTGTTCCCCTTTTGGGGAAATCCCTCCCAGATCACCTGAAGGGCCTTGCAAGTGCAGCACAGGTTGCCGCAGTGAGAGAGCCAGAGGCGTACGATGTCGTTCCCGTTGTGATCTGTGCGTCGGAGGAGCGCATCGGTGCAACCATGGCGGTCATCAATAGCGTCTACAGCAACACAGATGCCAGTCTGTTCTTCTACATTGTCACTCTGCGCGATGCCGTCAGACTGACAAGGTCAGCCACTTGATTCTAATTAATGTATAGAATCTTTCATTTTCAATGTTTTTTTGAGGGGGCCACGTGACTTTCCAGTATTATTGTCTGTGCTGATTATTTCATTCCACCTTCCCAGACAGTACATAGTGAAGACTAAACTGAAAGGTATCAAATACAAGATATTGGAATTCAACCCCATGGTTCTGAAAGGAAAAGTGAAGCCAGATTCGTCTCGACCCGAGCTGTTACATCCGGTGAGTTCTGGGTTTTCCTTGGTTCATGCATCAACACATACCATGAACATGTGCACATGAAGCTCCGACGTGCGCCCCCCCCCCCTTACATCTGAATGCTACCATCGCAAAGATGTAACAATAATGAGCATGTCTCTTTTTTTCTTTGCAGCTGAACTTTGTGCGCTTTTACCTGTCCATGCTAGACATCAAGCATAAGAGGGTGATCTACTTAGACGATGACGTCATTGTGCAGGGTATGTATGTGATCATGGTAGGAAGGAATCCATCAGATGAAACGGTTTGAAGGTTAGCCTTTTGATAAAAGTGCATTTTTTCAGTTGTAGCTCACAGGTCACAGCAGCACAGACAGGCAGAGCGATAAGAAAACAGATAAAGTCTTATTGAACGCAATGAATCATTTAAAAAAAAAGTTAAAGTTAAATTAAATTACAGAGGTGACATTAAAAAGCTACAATAATCACATTACAATACACTTTAATGGTATTTGTTAAAAGAGAGTCCGGTAGTGTGACAAACAATTATATAAAGTACAAAAATTTTTTTTTAACAATAGAGGTATTCCAGTCAGTATAAAATATATGTACATATGTGTCTTTTAATGCTTCTCAGGAGACATCAAGGATCTGTTTGATATAAAACTGAAGCCGGGTCATGCTGCTGCTTTCTCCACTGACTGCGACCTGCCGTCCACACATGAGATGGTGGCAAGCATCGGCATGCAGGTGCATTTCTATGTCCTTTATCATATTTGAAGCAATGTAATGGATGTTCGTCTTAAAATCATAACAGCTAGTCTTGTTAAAGAGAAGTATGCCTTAGAAGATGAATTGATTTTTTTAACAACGGAGTCTTACATTTAGACAAATAGATGAATACTGAATGATGTATTCCTTTGAAAAGACACTTTGGTTCCTTGAAATGTGGCGTCCTCTCCTCTGAGTTTGTCCCCTATAGACAACTTACATGGGCTTCCTGGACTATAGGAAGGAAGAAGTGAGAGACCTCGGCATTGACCCGAGAAAATGCTCTTTCAACCCCGGAGTTTTTGTGGCAGACGTCGCCGAATGGAAGAAACAGAAGATCACCAAGCAGTTGGAGAAATGGATGGAGGAGAATGTCAGGTTTGCAGAGCGGGCATCAGTTTCTTGAAACCCTCACGCTCACATTCAACTTAAAGATTTTTTAAGATGATTAAAACTATAGCAAAAACAAAACTGACATTTAATTGGCAAAGCTAAACCATAAGAAAACTATGGAATATTTACTTTAATGCAAAAATACTAAACTATGCAACTTTCAGTCCCTTATCAGATATTAAGTTTTTTAGCTGATGTTTAGAGGTTGAGCAATTCCAAGTATAGATAAGATAGATAAAGATAGTCTGCCTGTCTGCTCATCTCATCTGAATACATTTACACATTTGTTAATCCAAAAATCTTGAATGGATTATGCTCTCTGACTGTCTTCTATTAAATATCGAAGACAGGAGTCGTATTTAATAGGTAACTACAGAAATATTTGATTGGTTTGATGTTGAGTTTAAGGTTAAAGAGATGGACATATTTGCAATAACAGTACTCAGTACTCTACATGTCTTAAAAAGCTTCTATAGCTTTTACTAAGCCCTGTTTGTGTACCGTGTGTGTGTGTACAGCAAACAGGACAATATTTCTATATGATATATTGATATATTGTTCCATCTCTCCTTATTCATTGCACATTCACTGTTTTTATTTCAAAGTCAAGCACTTTTAACTGCATTGTGTATGCTGTAACACATATATATATATATACATGCTTGATGAGAAGGCCTCTTCTTCCCCTCCTCTCTACCAGGCACAACATATACAGCAGTGCAATGGCAGGAGGCGTGGCGACTCCACCCATGCTAATAGTGTTTCATGACAAATACACAACACTGGACCCGTTGTGGCACGTCAGGCACATGGGTAAGATTGTCACTCTCATTATAGTATTAGTTATTTTATATTATATTATAATATTATTAAGTATTTTAACCTCATCTCAACCCACCATTCACATTACACAGTGAGGAGAGCACTCATGCTGCACATGAGTCTCATCGCAAATAATACATTATGAAGAAGATTAGGGGAAATACAATAGTGTTCAACATATTATTCAGATATAATGAATAATGACTTTTTAAATGTACATTAGTTATGGTAAGTGATGGGAAATGGAATCATTAAAAGTTCAATGGAAAAAGCTTTCCTGTGTGTCCAGGCTGGAGTCCAGACGCCCACTATTCAGAGAACTTCCTACAGGGGGCTCACCTGCTACACTGGAATGGTCCTTTTAAACCATGGCATTATCCTGCTGTTCACTTGGATCTGTGGGAGAGGTGGTTTATTCCAGACCCCTCCAGGAAGTTCTCCTTGGTACGACCCAAGAGTCACTACTGAGGCCCAAGGACACTCCAGTCTGAGGTGGACATGAAGCATGTGAAGTTCAGGAGGCGAAGATGTGCTGCCAGGCCTAATGAGAATGTAATGCTCAATGTATTTACCTACAAATGCTAAATATACAAAATATGACTATTCTGTTATCTGCATCAAGTGAACTGTAAAGAGATTAGAATGTTTTAAATTGTATAAATCAATCAAATAGAGTGATAAGAGTTTAGTGTCTTTCCATGCAAACCTGAAATACACTTTCAGAACTCTTAATTTGTTCTCTCATCTTTGCTGGTTCTTTCATGCTTTAAATGAGGCAGTGGGATCTTGAGATAATTATGTTACTTAAGTACAAATGTATTACTGATTCATTCTAAGTTGTTGAGCGAGGAAAATAATACTGGCAAAGAAATTACATTTAAACTGAAAGGTTTAAACTGAAAGGAAATCTTGTAGTTAATTTCTACCCTAATTGAGAACTGTAAGCATGCCATCAAGCCAAACTAAATAGTTGTGTTATAAAAAAGACTGAAACATTACACCTAAGCATCAACATGTTGACACGGTTTATGGGGCGCCATTTGTAAAATGTTGCACGTTCTAAAATCCTGCGCAGTATCATGAAAAACAAAAACAAAAAAGCACGACAATATTCATATGTCACTTTTTCAAACATTTAGAGAGAAATTCATGTTAATTCATGCACTAACTTCCAAGGATGTTTTGCAGTAACACAAAGTTGTTAAATAATACAAATGTTAAATGAAAAATCGAAATCCAAATGTTAAATCGAAATGTACATGTCAAATATAAATGTAAATGTTAAATGTACATCTAAATGTTAAATCGAAATGTTAATGTTAAATGCTCTACATATCAGACTTGACGACTGAACATTTCAATATTTACGGTAATTCACGCCACAGCAAGACAAGCTGGTAGGTCCGAATGAATTAGCTCTTGTTAGAGCAGGAGTGTCAAACTCATTTTAGGGAGGGGGCCACATACTGTCCCCTTTTGTTCATATAATAATGCTAAATGTAGCAAAACTGCGCAGGATTTTAGAACGTGCAACATTTTACAAACGGCACCCCATAGCGTTTAGCATGGCCATTCATTAGCATTCAGGTCAAATCCCCTGCTAGCATGCGAGTGTGCTCCAAGCAGTGCTGCTAAACACTGAGTCAATGAAGCTTTACTCACAGATGCTGTAGTGTTTGCGTTATATGGGTTTATACACCAGACCTAACACAGTTTGATTTATATCCACAGGCGTTTATTCTCCGGCTCTCACTTTACCGTTACTGTTACCGCGTACTTCTTGCTCACGTGTCTTGCGCGTCTATATCCGAAGGTGACGTGGTTACGTCATGAACATCACAGATGCCTTATTACAAAACTCTGAATGAATATAGAGCTTTTAAACCCTTTTTAGCTTATATGTTTTGCACATTATGTGATGATGGCAAATATGTAAAATGACAAAAGCCGCACAGTGCCACCTATAACTAACATTCACATAACGTAGTCACAGTTACAAGAGCAGAGTTGGGGTTATGTGTCTAACTAAAGGCGAACCACGGATTAGAGAGGAACAATGCGGTTTACCCTTGAGAGGATCATGGAGGGGCCCCGGGAGTTTGCTCATCTGGCCTACATGTATTTTGTGTGGTCCTGTTGGCATCTTTTGTTTGTGACCTCCAACTCTCACTGGAGCAGTTTGCAGCTGAGTGTGAAGTAGTCGGGACGAGGATCAGCACCTTTAAATCTGAGGCTCTCAGCAGGAAACAGATAGATTGCCTACTCTAGGTAGGAAATGTGTCATTACAAAAGTGAAGGAGTTCAAGTACCCCGAGTGTCTGGTAAGGGGGCCTCTAAGCCTCCCTAGGGAGGTTTTCCAGGCACGGCAAGCTGGGAAGAGGCCTTGGGAAGACCCAGGACTAGGTGGACAGATCTTCTGGCCTGGGAACGCCTTGGGATCGCCCAGTAAGAGGTGGTAGGTGTGGCCCGGTGAAAGGGATAAGCGGTTGAAGATGAGAGAAGATGAGCAAAGGACACATCAACACTCCTGTGAAGGACATCACTGCTCCATACTTAGTGACATTCTCCCCTTGTTAATACTGTAATCATATACTGTATATCCAATTCTGTTTTGTTTGTTGCTATGTTACTAGAAAGTTGTAAGGAATAATGTCAAAATATAAAAAAATGTTGACAGGATTATTTTCAATAATCCCAAAGAGTAACTAATAAAATAGGGAAATGTACTACTACTAGTGTACTACACTGGACATGTCACATGAAAAAAAAGCATCTCTATTCCCCATTGATGAGAAGAAGTCATCTGAAGAAGTGCAATCACCAATCCTCAGCCGCTGCGTCCATGAACTGAACACGTCCAACATGGCCGCCAGAGGGCATGAAAGTTAAAAGGATCTGATGAGCTGTAAAGTGCTGTAAGTGTCAACTGCTGTCAAAGAGAAGACGCTGTGCTCTCAAAATGTTAAGTGCTCTCAAAACACTGATGAAACTCATTTTTCTTTTCAAGCTGTGAAATCATTGTTCATGCTCAATATATTTTAATTCTATTCTATATTTCAGATTCTATCTAGTATTGTGTGCCATCCTTTGTTCTTCTTGTGTTGACCTGTGAAGCCCTTCGCTTCCTGCTTTAATATGTATCAAACAATTACAACATTTAACCCTCAACCAAGGTCTTGAGTGTGGATAACGGCATTGGGCCGGAGACTTTGAGGGGTGAAACAAGCCGGAAGTGAGGCTACACCGTGTCACGGGCAGACCAGCACTAGTCCCACATCGCCGAATACATAATATGGAACATAAAAAACCCAAACCCAGAACGTTTTAACCAGCAACATAAATACGTGTGTGAGGTCTTGAAATTATTTCTGTTAATTGTGGACCACGTGTGGACCATTGTGGATTTATTTTATTGTTTGATCGAGCAAAATGTCCAGTTAGAGCAGAATATACTGTAGTAATAGATATTACTGTTGAAGTGGATGTCCTCTTATAATATGTTTATTTATTTTCCGTGTTGTTATTCACATGCTGCATCATGGCCAAACTCGTTTCACATCCATCCACTGAATCCAGGGTTATGTTCACAGGTACCTAGGTGTGTGTCTGTGTATATAGAAGGGGGAGTTGTTATTGAATGCATCAGAGGAGGAGACACATGCCCTTCTTGCGTCATAGGGACGTCAGAGTTGGAGTTCGGGTTTTTGTGGAATTGTTTGTTGGCATACACGCCTCTTTAGCTTAATCCCAGAGCTTTAAAAGTTATGAAAGTTCTATAGCATTCTAAAGGAAATGAACGCAGCATGAATATCTGCACAGGGGCTGTCTGTTTTAGATTATACATGAAAAAGAAAATTTTTGTTCATCTGCAGGGAGGACCAGGACTGGTAAAACTGTCTCAGAGTGAGATTGAGATTATTGAGATTATTTAAAGTTTTTGAGAATTCTTATTCTCGGGCATCATTTTTATGTACTGTATATATTTGTTTTCTCATGGTGGCTGCAACACTTGCGATCTCACGATCTTCCTTTCCTTCAGAGATAGTTATCAAACTGATCGGAGATGTTACAGCCTTGTGATGGATTATTTAGAAGACCTGTCTATACAGTCAGGTTCACTCAACCATGCGATTGTTGGGTGGGGCCAGATGCGTGCCATGCTGCTCCTTCAACCACACAGAACAGTGATATTGTGGAAGTTGCATTTAAACACAAAAGGCAATTCCTCAAATTGAGTACACAAGTGTGTGTCTCGTTTATTTTTACATGACAAAACGAATGAACAAACAAACAAATATGGCGCAGCCCTGTAATCTCACAAACATGGGGCTCTCATTCCTCAACAACAGAATATTTAAAGGGGGCGCGATCCCAGAACAGTTGTACTTACGTGTATAACACATTACTTAAATAACTGCATGAAACAACAGTGTGTTGAACCACACTAAGAACAAGGGTGAATTATGAAGTCACATTCACTACACACGTCCCCCCAGAATTCACCATATAAAAAAAATAATTATCAAATGGGCCTAGCAACGTCCAAATGAGCTGGTTTGAGGCGGTCAATGGAGAGTCGCTCCGGTTTACCACCCATTTCCATCACAAAATGTTTGTCTCCCGTCTCCAAGACACGGAATGGGCCCTCGTAGGGCGGGCGTAGCGGTCCCCTGTGAGCGTCGTGGCGAATAAAGACGTATTCAGCCGTCTGAAGCCCAGCAGGGATGTGCAACTGAGGGAGGCCGTGACGGGAAGTAGGGACAGGTGCGAAAAGCCTCGCATTGTCCAGTAGTGCAGTGGTATGCAGTCGTACGGTGGAGTTTCGCTCCGAGGCTCTGGGCCACCGTGTTCCACAGCTCAGACGTGAACTGCACGCCCCGGTCAGAGGATATGTCCGAAGGGGTGCCGAAACGGGCAACCCAGGTGCCGTTAAATGCCCGTGTCATCAACAGCTGCCAACGATGTCAGTGGCACAGCCTCAGGCCAACGGGTGGTCCTGTCAACCATGGTCAACAGGTAGGTGAAACCAGAAGAGGAGGGCAGAGGGCCAACCAGATCCACGTTAACATGGTCAAACCATGCAGACAAAATAACTGCATGAAACAACAGTGTGTAGAACCACACTAAGAACAAGCGTGAATTCTGAAGTCACATTCACTACAATATCACCTTTTGTCCAATACACCCTAAATAGGGTGTGGAAGCTAAACAGAAAATGACAATAAAAGACAGGAAAACGTGAGAAAAGATAAATTTGTGTTTTGATCAAGTGCGTTAGCAATAAATGAATGATCTTAAAACACTTTTGAATGTGAAGAAGAGACACACCAGAGTCTGTTATCTAGGCATTTGCTTTGATAATAACTAGTTTGAGAAGAAGGCTGTGGGTGGATGTGTGAGACGGCACGTATGCAGCTGAACAGCTGGCAGAGAGGGCAGGAGGAGCAGAGGCTGTGTGTGTGTCTGTGTGGTTGTAAAACATATTGCGCACACGTTATCTGTTGCATGTTGTAGGTTTTAAAGAGTAGTTACACATTTAGTAAACTAGTAAAATAACAATGAAGTTTGTTAATAACACATTTTGCTTGTTCATAAGAGTTAAAACACACCAACAAAAACAAAATATGTATTTTTTACCCTTTCTTGAAAACGTGTGTTTTCAGCACAAGCACAAACCATATAGTATTACAGACAAGAGTGTTAAATCACATAAGTTTGTAGATTTCATATGA